TATACTATTTTACTTGATGAAGATCACAAAGGCAAAGTCAGTAGCATTACGACTCAACCTTAAAGCGAATGAGCCAATATTTCTGTTGCTCTTAAAGCCAACTCCCTCTTCCATTTCGGATCTCAGCCATATTGTTCTAGTTTTTCTTTTGGCACAAGTCTCTGGCGGATCCTTGGCTGATCTTCGCTTTGAGCTGCGGTTCGCTGCCATTAGTCCAGCCCTAGATATTTTTTTGTTGGCTTTAGCAACGCCTCACACAAGTTCAAAAGATAATTTATGATGGAGACAGATTGAAAGACATTTGCTAAGAGTGCAGCTTGCGTGTCTCGAGCCAAAAACAAGGCTGGCGATAATACGGTAGTAGGTAGAGATTCTGCGCTAGCGTTGTCTACCTGAGAAGAAGTTGACAAAAATCTTTAATTGTAAAAAGGATCAGCGGCAGCAGCAGCAGCAGCCGTCGCAGGGATTTTGGGCTGATAAACACCCAGACGTAAGCGCAAAATGCAATGCAAAAACAACAACAAGACGAAGAGACGACGAACGTCTCAAGAAACAGAAACTAGGAGCAGAGCTAGAGTGAGTGAGAGAGAAAGAGATAGAGTGACATTGAGAGACATAGAGTTAGGGTGAAAAGGTAGCGCAAGATAAGGCTAGAGCGAACGGCCTAATGCGAGTGCAAGAGAGCGCGAGCGATAGATCAGTTGTCGATCCTGTTTGCAACCCCTATTATTAACCGTTGCAATGTTTGCTCGTGCAGGATAACGAAGTAGCTGACGATTCGGGCAGTGGGCAGCGGGCAGCGGGCAAACGGGCAAACGGGCCAACGGGGATCGGCGATCTGGAACGAGCCTCGATCAGCTCAGTTGCACAGCGCAAGTCAACGCGTTTGGTACACTACGAAGCGCAGAGCGGTTGAAAAAAAAAATATTGTTATATACATACATACAATACCTCAAGCAATACCAAGCAGAGGAGACTGAAAACGAGTGCAAGAAACTAATTTAAGAACCGGATTTTGCAAGAGATCGCGATAAAGAAACGAAAAAAATTAAAATACAAATAAAAAATTAAATACAATGTTTTAAGTGCCCAAGAAACACTTGACAACTGAAACCAAAGAAACTTAATGCAAACCAACCAAATAAAATAATTTATAATTACAACGAAATAGTAAAAGTGCAATACACAAGAAATTCTCTCGCTCGCTCATTCTCACTCGCTGTCTCCTTCACACACACACATCAAACTCTCCCACGATTTGGAAAACAAAATATCTATATATCCTTTGAAATTGTGCGGGTGTTCCTTTTGTAGACAGCAGCTAGGATTAAAGACGGACAGGCGTGCCCACATAAATTTCACAATTATTTTGTGCTGGATCCTTTTGTGGCTGGCACAGTGTCTGCTAATTAATTCGAGACACGTTTATATGCTTGTGCGTGTGAGCCGTGATCCTTGATCTTTGATCCGTGTCGATCCCCGTTTCGGTTATAGGCTCTACAAAATTTGTTGTTAATGTTATTATGAAGTTGGAACAGAAGCGCAAGTTCATCGAAATGGTAAATAAT